ATAGATCAAATCATTTAACAACTATGTTTTATTTTTTTACACAGGCTATTTTAGTCTAATAATAACATTTATTTGATCAGAAATACCGGGATTATGCATGTAAAACTCAAAATATATTTATTAATCTCCCTAAGGAAAAAATATTCTCTGTAACCAAGGAAGAGCTGAACCATTCACGTCTCAGGTCCCATAAAAAATAATAAGCCAATAAAAGGGACAATAAATGTAAAATTAAAATGGTATAAAGTTCCGATAAAAATAAGGGTTACTTAATAGCAGTGTCCTTTCAGCACTAGTAGTTTAAACACAGTATCATATTAAACAGTGCAAATGAACATGATGTTAATAATAATGACCTGTTTCTCTGACATATACACCATAGGCTTGGTATAAACGTTCGAATACAGCAAACTTTTCCACTGAATCTTTGAAATATCAGCTTCTTCCTACAGTATAACTTTATGTTAACATATCTAACAATTTCTTATAATGTCTTGTGGAAGGCTTTACTAATCCTATTCAAGTTTTCCAATTGATTTTTTTCCTTGAGTTTGGGCTAAAAATACTTCTTTCTTCTTCCAGGTCTGAATGGCCGGATAATAATGTCCCCCCTTACATCCCGGATTTTTATGATGGCTGGCAGCTCCCTGCACCCCTTCACCCACCTCCTGCACCTCGTCAGAACCATCCATTGAGCAGAAACAACAGCCAGCGCTTTCCACCAGGCGGACCGGGAGAACCAATGGGCAATGGCCAGGGCTTCTCACCCAGAGCTGTGCTGCGACGGCCTGAGGAGGTTAGGGCTTATCTAATCACAAAGGGAAAACATGTCAGCAATCACAGGGTGTCGACCGCTTCAACAACAGATCCAGTTGTGCTTTAGAACATCTGATTCACCTGTTTCCAGACCGCTATAAAACTCCCTACAGTATGTTTTTACATAAGAGTACGACCCTTTAATCATTTAAGGTTTTAGTTATTTCTTTTAACTTTTTACTCAATCACAGCTACGGTTTCCCCCACCTGTTACATGATACTGCACTGTTTGAGGAGACAATGGAAATGTCTTTCGTTCTTATTGTGTTGTACTTTGTGCCTTTTATAGCCCATGTCCAATGGTCCAATAAGCTCCCCTCCACCTCGGCGGTGAGTTTTATCAGCAGCAGTGTTGCATGCAGCCAACATTTCCTCCCTTCTCTCCGTGTTTTTTTCTCATCTCAATAATGTGTTGTTTTCCATGGTTTCAGCCCGACCGAGCCTCCGCTCTACATGCGTGTCATGTACAACTTCTCAGCAAGGAACAGCCAGGAGCTGTCTGTCATGCAGGGAGAAATGGTTCAGGTATGAAAAAAACAACTTGATCTGTTGACATTTTGTTGCACATATTTTTACTTTTGCTATTACTTTAGTTATAGGATGGATTATATGTTCTTTATACCTAGCAGAGGTATTTGTTTTTGCCTCTAGAAGAGACCCTTAGTTGCTGTTAAGAAACTGCAGACATCTGCAGCTGAAAGAATTCAATTAAGAACCTAATGGAAGTGTCCCAAAGTTAAATTCTTTCCCCTTAATCAATCTTAGCTTTTATTCTTACAATGGACCACAGCTAAAAGGGTATAAGTCTAAGGTTCTTATTTCCTCACTTACAGGTGATTCAGAAATCTCGTCCATGGTGGGTTGTTCGAAACAATCGCAACGAGGAAGGTAGCATTCCTCCGAACATTTTGGAGCCAATTGATAATGAGCCATCCATGGACGACCAGGAGGTGAGCCAAACGCTACGGAGGAATAAAATGAACACATTTCACACATGAGAGCTTATTCTCCTCACTTTGCTTCACAGTGGGACTCACGCGGCCACGTAACCCTCAACTACAACTCCAGCCCAGCAGATGTGAAGGCATGGCTCGAGTACAAAGGTTTCTCTAAAATGTAAGGACTTGTTTCTCTGACTTTAAGATATCTATTACGTCAGTAAGATTTTTGTTGTTTTGTTTTTTTTAATAAAAAAAAACCCCACCCAACTGGAATCTTCGTTTTCCCACTTCTCTTGCACAGCACGGTCTCCAGCCTTGGTGTCCTGACTGGAAGACTGCTTCTGGGGATGTCCAAAGAGGAGATCAGGACGGTGTGCCCAGAAGAAGCTGGAAAAGTCGCATTCCAACTTCAATCTGTGAAGTCATCCCTTGCAGTAAGTTATGTTTGCTCATCTAAAGAAAGGCGAATAGCTATGTTTGTAGAGCTAACAGTGCTTTAGCTCACTGTAATAACCCTGGGAAAAGGGAAAGCCATGCAGTTTAATAGCGATGTGCACTGATTGGCTCTGTTTGGTCAGTTTTATTGCTCACTATTTAATATCAGTTTGAGGCTTTAAAACAGTCTAAATCTGTACATATACCTGTAAAAGGAAGATAGGGGAAAAAGCTAATAATTTATTGCGCATCTATAACCAAACAAACTGCAAAAAAATAGAAAATCTTTCCTACCGAGGAGCAATCATGATTTCTGTAGAAACACATTATTAATCCACATTAACAAGAAGAAAATGTTATAGATTTATGCCAGCAATGCATACAAACTAAAGCTATATTTAAGTTTTAAGCATTACTGAGAAAAAGATTCAAAAGAATCAACCGGAGCTAAAGATTAGCTGGCGGTGAGGCCCTCAAACCGCATAGAGTTTAAGCTCATTAAATGTAAGAATAACAGTGGAAACATGAATAATGTGACTTCAATGGATGGTGAAAAACAAAAGAAACTTTACCAGCTATAACAATTATGGCTATATCCCAACAGAAAGGTTTTTTGTTTGTATAACTTAATGTTTGTTAATCAAAATATGTACATTAACTTACAGGTAATGGATATCATTGTGATAACATTAATATTAGTTTCTTTTAAGCAATAATTTCATAATTATTTCAAAGAGTTGGATAATCACTGCTGGTAGTCAGAGCTTCGAAATGAGAGAAAAATATTTAACCATAGCTTTTTCAGATAAAACACAAATGAGTTAAGTTAGGAAGAGCTGATGATCCCCGGCTCAACACTATTCAGGTTTTTCTCCAACTGTGATCTCTTAACATTTATCTCCCTCTCTAAACATCCCTCTTACCGTCTGTGGCGGCTTGAGAAAAATACTCCTGATCCAGGCAATCCACCAGGTTGTCAAAACAAATAGACTTTTATTTGACTTCATATTTTCCGCCAGGGACACAGAAATAACCATTAATAATTTCACTCAAACTGTTTAAATTGTGGATTTTTCTCTTTTGAAATAAAAAAGAATAATGCTAGAAGTTAGACGCTACACTGAGAAAAAGCTGCAAGAATGAGTATTTGTAACTTTAGCAAGATTGCCAAATAAATTGACTAGCATTTTATATTATTTATGAAACAAAAGCCTTCTAATATGGATTAGCCTATCTGCACATGCAAAATATACCTTAAACAGTCTCATATATTTCTATTAAAGTGTTGAGAAATTAGTTTTTGTCAGAACTGTAAAAGGAAAACTGTAAGCTCCCCAGTAGAGAGAATAATCTGTTTTTCCTTTAACCCCTCTGGTTCTATCAGATTACATCCCAGCATGTATAAAACATCTGTGCATCATTAATTCGTGTGTTTTTGTCTTGCAGCTCTCAGATGAGCCCTCACAGATGTACAACAGCCGCTACTGACAACAGTGACGACTGGGATTCTGAAACAGCAGGACTCCATGGCAGTTCTGACTCCAAGATCATCCGTTCTCACTCTCAGCATTTACTGACACTCATCCTATTCAGTTTATTTTAATTTTAGAAAGTTTAGACTAGAGATCGACCGATATGTGCTGAGATCCCAGATATGTGCAGCTGATATTTTTGGCCCGGTTCTTGGAGCCAATATTTTTAGTATTTTTTTTTTTTAGATGATTAAAAATAACAAAATGATAACAAACGATACACAGGCCTCATTTTAAACTACATTAACTAATATACACTTACAAACATTTTCACCCAAATTTTGAGATTTATGTAATATTATTACAAAAATTCCCATTTACTTTGTTTATTTTGATAATTTTCACACAAAACTGTTAAATAAACCTTTTTTTTTATTTGATATGGCTTATTTATTTAAAATACATAATTGTCAGGTTTGTCTATTTAGAATTAAGAAAGTATACTTATTCAAAATGAATACTAATTAGCGTATTAATTTCAAAAACCAAAAGTTTATTCGTTTGAATTGCATAATAATTAGGTTACCTTTATGCAATTCAAACACCACACTTTATGTAATTGAAATACTCAATATATAAACCTGATTATTATGTATTTCAAATAAATAAGCTTTATTATATAGATGAATATGAATCGTTGAAGGTTTATTTAATTGGTTTGTGTTGAAAGGAAATAAGAAAGTAAATGGGAATTTGTTATGTAATAAATTTAACTCTTAAACTTTGAGTGAAATATAGCAAAACATATTAACAATGGAGATCAAATGGAGGGATGGCATTGTGCGCTTCACATGATCTGAGGCTATGGCTGCTGAATGTAAGAAATGACTGGTGAACGCATGCATGTATCGTACATGCAATACCCGTATATGCAAACAAACTTATATCTCCCAAGAATATCGGTATGTATCTCTAGTTTGTTCTGATTTTGTATAGCATATGAATAGCAGTAATCAGTGTGGATATAATCCATTTTCTTTTTATGTGTTAATCACAGCTAAGCTTTGTTTTCAGCCAATCAGCACCTTTAAATATATTCAGTCATCCATCTACATGTATAAATATTTTCAAAGAATTGGGACATACTCTTGCATTAAAAAGTGATTGTGTGTTTCTGTAAAGAATGATTGTCAATGTGAATCATTGTAAAAAAAAAAGTTTGATGTTTAAATAATGAAATCAGACTGTAGAGGGATTTGGTTTATTCTGTCAATAATAAAACATGAGTTACAAAACTGACAAGTGCTTTGACTGAAATTAAAGTTTTCATTTGCACATCTTCATACACAGCTGCATAAAGGGATTTTTTTCCAATGACACTATTAATAAACTAACTTTGGACTCTGATATTTCTGACATACACCCTTCATGAACTGCAAAAAAGGATTTAACATTTCGCCAATTAGTTGTACTAATTGAAAGTACTTTGCATTTCTAAGTGTGCGTTTCGTCCTCACTCCTTCTTGTTTCCCCATTTGGCCATCTTGTTGTTGACAGGAGTCTTGATGAATCTGTTGGACTTCATGTAAGCAGCAATTTTCTCCAGAGCCTATGACAATAAGATGAATGATAAGCTGAGGGGGACAGGAAGGGGTTCCTGGTGCTGCTAAAGTATTTGGTCATATCAGGGCAATCACACTGGGCCACTAAGCAGTCCTATTGATGATGGAAATCTACTTAAATTATGGTGATTATTTTACTTAAAAAGAGGGGAAAGTTCTTTACTTAACAGACATCAGGGGGGATCTCACCTCAAAACGATCCATAAGATCTTTAAGGTTCTTGAAGCCATCCAAGCATGAAGGATGAAACATCCTGTGTTGATCCAGCAGCTCATACATGATGAAGTCCACAAAGGTGATCTATTACAAATGGGAGTTATTATTAACAAACAAGTTTTTCTTCTTTTGAAGCACCTCTAAAATCAAAATCAGGAATTTTTTAGGAATATACAAAAATTCAATTCCTGATGAGTATACCATCTTGTTCATTTACTAAACCATGGTTCAACAAAAGTGGAGCTCATCAACTGGTATTTCGGTTAAATGACAGATCAGCAAGTATAAAATGACCATAACTCATGAATATATCATTAGTTAAATACCACATAACTGAAGTATGTAATGGATCTTTGACTTTTAATCATTTGTATTTTTACACCTTTCTATGTAAAAATATAATAGCTTTCCCAGATATCAATTCTCAGAGTTCTTTATCTTTTAACTTTTTAAAACAAAAGATTTAATCAATAATTAGTTGAGTTTCCATGTGAGAACTGTAAGAATGAGACGCTGTAAGGAAATAAAGGAACAACATTATCAAACAGAGACATAAGGAATGAGGGGCAGATCGAAGGAAATGAGAATCTCTTAAAGGAAGGAGGGAATAGCAAGAGAAGAAGGAAAGCACGAACATGGAGGAGGTTAGTAGCACGGCATGAGGAAAAAAATCAAAGCATAAAAAACAGAAAATGGCCGAGAGAAGGGAGTGGATGAGCAAGAAAGGGAGGAAACAAGGGAGAAGAGAATGTGATGTTTAGACAGTAAAAACGGATGAAACTCTAAAAAATACAGTTTTCCATGCTCCTTTTTTATTTTTTTTTATTTTTCCTATATCCAGTCTTTCATTAAATCATTGTAGCTGCAGAAACAACCCTTTATAGAGCCACAGGATAAGGTTTCAATGTCACTATTTAATCTTCAATAGTAAATCTAGAAAGATTAAATGATTAGATTAGGTAGAAGATTTTTTTAAAAGGCTTCTGCAGAAAAAATGTCTAAAATTAACATTAATTGCGTTTTCTCCCCCCTTTTAAATCCTCAACCTGTGCCTACTTCATAAATAATCACAATTATAGAAGTGTTCATTTTTCTTCTGAAATTATGTATATTGTCCATATATATATATATATATATATATATATATATATATATATATATATATNTATATATATATATATATATATATATATATATATATATATAAACTGTTGTAAATGTGTCTCTAATGTTTATGGTCATACTTATTGGGTTTTGTTTGAAAATATGATAGTAAATTAAAAGTACTCCATTCCTCTGTATAAGTAAATCTATACCGCCCCCTGCTGGTGGTGTATAAGATGTGAAATGAAACCCAAAGGAAATAAACCAGGTGCAGCTTTGTCATTTCACAGGCTGTTTTGATGCTGAATTCCTCAAAAATGAGATTATGGCTAAGTTTTTATAACCTCATTTTTTCAATATATTTAAATAAATAATATAACTAAACAATCTGCAATGGTGCTGAGATGAAGGGTAGCTATAAAACATCAATCAGCAAAAGATTCCAGAAGTAGTATATTATTTGTGGATAATAATTGAGTTTATTATTCAACTTTCAATATAAACTAACTCTCTTTTTTAACAACTAAAGGACCCATAAATAAGCTCATAACATTTTTATACTAATTTAATTATATCGTGACCTGCCAGATTTATTGGATTTACAGCTGCTGAGAGTGCACTTTAAAACAATGACTAATCACATCATGAGTTGTCCTACCTTATCACCAGCAAACCACTTCCTGTCTCCTAGAAAGTCAGAGAACTTCTTCAGTGTACCTGGCAGCGACTTCAGGTACTCTGGCTTTTTGTTGTCCTGATTTTAGGGACAGTATTTCACATTAGAGCACACTCATTTGAAATGTGCAAACTTTTTTTTTTAAAAGTCATCTACGTACAAAGTCAGTGTAGCACATAATCACAAAGCCGTTTCTAAAGTCCATGGCCTGGCTTTCCAGCACATCCACTCTGACCTTTTCATCCTCCGTCTCTCCACCTGTTATCATCCCAGTTAACAAACAGAACATTTGATGCTACAGAAGCATTTAAATCAGGGGGGAAAAAATAGTGATGGTTTATAGATCACAGATCACATTACTCACACAGATTGTGCTTACGAGCGATGTATCTCATAATGGCGTTGCTCTGCGTTATCTTCCGGCCTCCATCTACCAGGTAGGGAAGCTGTGGTGCAGTTTAAGCACAAAACTATTATCAACTAAGCCCAAATATATGACCTACCGGTAATATATGATCAGACTGGGCCAGTAAGCAGTCCTGACATAAAAATATGTCTTACGTTGGGGAAGTCAATTCCAAGTTTTTCCTTTTCACCAAACCAGCAGCTTTTGTCATAGTTTGGGGCTATAAGAGAGAAATGAGGCTGACTGTGGGACTGATTAAAGGTACTGTATTCACTTTTGTGTATCTTTTAGATGAAAAAGTTAATCACCTTCACCACAGACGTAAAACTTGTCCTCATACTTGGTGCCGGTGTACTCCAGAAGTAGGCGAATGGGCTGGGCAAGCTGCAACAATTCAGAAAGTTTTTTTTTCATTGTCAGGCTTTGATACATATAGTGATATAAGTAGGCCTACATTTGCTTATATTTATTGATATTTATTACAAAAACAGATTACAAAGAAAAAAAACCTGCTCATACATGTGTTTATATGTTATTATTGCATTATCTCACCAATATTCTTTGTTAAACACTTTTTTTAAATGAAAACCCTACATCAGCAGAATGCATTGGCAAAGGAAAAACATCTACAACTACCAAAGATGAAAATTAATTTACAATTTCCAAAGTTTACACAAATGTTAAATGGACAGTGGGTAACACATGTGGCATTTTTTATTAGCAAAAAGAAAGTGTTTCTTTCTTCATTATATATCTGGTTAAAGTCTAATAACATCAAATCAAAAATAAAAGTTGTCTCACAGCTTAGGGTTAGTAGTTTACATATACGTAGGGATTTCAGAGGGATTTTCAAGTTTTTTTTTTCAAGCTATTAAGCTACAGTTATCAGCTGATGTTATTCTTCACAAGTCATTCCAGCTAATGGGCGTAAGCTTCTCTTTGGTCTGTTTTTAGAGAAAAATGTCCATGTATTTTAGCTGATTTTATAAGGGGTTTGTAGTAGTTCTTAAAAGATTGATAGGGAGGCACCAGTGTGCCATATGTACTTAATTTAATGAATTTATACAGTTAAATCTTACGCACTGTCCCTTTAAGGGAAAAGCCTTACTTGTTCAGTGATTTAAAAGGTACTCATTTTTCATGGAAGGTCATTTCCTCGTTATTTTACCTTTTGTTGAAATTAGGATTAGCTTTAAAGATAGCAAAAAATAAATTAGTCCTCATATAAACAATCAAGGGATCGTTGTTTGAGTTGTAGCCTTTGATCAACACATATTCTGCAAATAGGTTTTTAGTCTATGACAAATTGCAGAAAGGAGTGGTGGTTCTTTGGACCCTTAGAACTCGACTTGGGGCTCTTACTGCTGATAAGAAGCTCACAGAGCTAACTAACAGTGGTGGTCATCACAGGTTTGGGGGAATCAACCTTATTTGCTTGGCCTAAAAGCAATAAAGCATAATTGGTTAATATATGCTGAGGTGTTTTTTTATTAGCAATCTAATCTAAAATACACAAAAAGTAAAATAAACTCATATAATCGGGCTGCAAATTTGTGGAAGCGACAACCAAACCATGAATATTTCTGTTTGAATTGTTTTCAAAAGCAAAAAAGTCAACTCCTTTAAGTGTGGCTGGGTGAGAGGCGACTCTTAGCCCTGTGCCGGTTTGTCCAGGTTGCTCCTGCTCTGTGTGAGGCGTATGGCTGCTCTGGGCTGGTGCCTTGTCTCTGGGAGCCTGGGATTGCAGCAGCTTCCTCTGCCTTCCTGTTCTTAGGTGATGTAGAAGGTGGACTCTTTTCTATCCTTGCCACACTCACAAGCATTTACCACAAGGTTACAAACTTGCATTTACTTCAACCATTAAATATTTCAGAACATACGTTAACCATTTCAAATACATCCAAAAGGTTGAAGGTTGTGAAAAAATACACCTTTACATTATTGTAGTCTGTCTAATATAACGCTGTACTGAATCTGGATTTAATTAAGTTATTCACGCAGTTAGGAGACTATCTTAAGATATCCTTTTGGTAACCACCTGCTCTGTATGGTATGCATGAAAGGCCATGATGATTGGACATAAGATAAAATAAATAAAAATGGAGCAGGAAGGCAGTAGCTGCATTATTCTCCACTTACTATCAGATTTACTGGTACATTCTACTTGAGCAAAATTGCCCTCTAGTAGGCGCTCTGTTACTTAAAGGTATAGTGGAGGATTTTCATGAATATTTAAAAAGACCTGTCCTCTCCGCTTTAAAAAAAAAATGCACATGCATAACCCTGTACCCTGAGAGGGAACAACTATGAAGTGCATGTGAGAGGATGCCGGAGCCCCTTTCTCCTCGTGCATGCTCTGTATTAAAGTTGCTGGTTGCATTGCTATTATAAGCTTACTTTCCAAAAGAAGATTTGCAATTTTTCCACTATGTCACCCGTAAGTGAAAATGTACATAAAGCATATGACCAGAAAGATTGACAATAAGGAGGACAACTTATTAAGGTGATCCACCCGGAAAAAGAACATCCACCCCTATACCTTTAAGCGTGGTATTTCTACACTCCTCTGTAGATACAAAAGAATCACTGGCCCACACCATGTCTTTAATCTAGATAGTGGAACCAGTAAGTTAAGGTTAAAGTTCAATGTACAGTGCCTTAAAATTTTTGCTGCTTTAACTTGAACCCGGCGTTTGAACTGGGCTATTTTTTTAGTGTTATTTGGGTTGTTTTAAGCTGCACATAAATCAATTGCACCTGCTTAATTATAATGACACACATTTGAATTCATGGGCATTTCCTACCCATTCAGCAGATCATTACAACACAAGGACCAGCCAGATCACACCCTCCTTTAATTCAAATGTATTAACGTCTGTGATAAAGGACTAAATGATGGCTGGAGGGATAACGTTTAGTTCCAAGCTAATACCTCAAACAAACCCTTGAAAACACAATGAGGTGTGCAGCTCAGCCTGGATGACGAGGCTGAAATATGAGCAGTTTAGAAAGGCTGAAGGTTGTGCTCAGTGTCCACAGAATGGAAATAAGAAATATTACAGTTTGTGAAACAATTACAACATTTTCTCAACTTACCCCACGGATATCCCAGTAAGCGAGAACCATTGCCATTTTGATTCACGTTTCAGGAGCTTAAACACGTTGGAGGGCAGAAGAGAGGAGCTATTAAAGCCCTTGTATTGTGCAGAGAGACGTTGAGGAGTGAACTTTCACAGACTAAGGAGTGGTGAAGGAGGAGTGTAGGTAGATGGGTGGAGCCATACATTGTAGTTAACCTTCGGAAATGGATTAAGAAATAGGGAGAGGTTGAACCTTCTCCTTAAACCCACCTCTACTATATTTATTGTCTTGGGAGATTTGTCTGTCTATAAACTGTCATTTATCCTGGTCTCATTCTCAATGGCATTATTAGTGGAACTATCCAAACAACTTCTACAAAACAATCTGTCATGGACCATTTGTGCTTTTGAATTTGCTTAAATGAGCCGGTGGCTCTCAGCATAGGGGTGTAGGGAGGGGCTGTTTGTCCAAAGCAACACCTTGGTTTTGATTATTGGACTCCCAAACAAAAGAGCCTTAGCCTCATTAGTCTTGCTGCTATTGGATAGGGTTGACTCTCCTAACTCTTTAGTGCACTAGAATTTAATCACTTAGCAGGTTAGATGCCTGGGTGTCTGTGGCTCCCTCTGCACCTCTGTGAAAGAAATATTCTCACTGAGTGAAGCTTTTCAAGAAGATGATAAAATGCAAGACATGAAACTAAGTAGGTCAAACCAAACTAAACCAAAAATACAAAAGGTACCAAAACAGCAGTTGCTGAAAATAAGGGCACAGGTGTTTGAAAGATAAATTAAAATAGCAATGAAATTAAATAAACAGCAAAAAAGGTTATAAAAACTAGAGAATATAGGGCATATCATATTTTCTTCTATACATTGGTACAGCTGTACCAGGGTGTGGTTACCACTCAAACCAGTCTGACCTGATGGACTAAAGTTCAGTACAGCTCGTCGAATCACTCTGCTTCTCTTCTAAGGTTATAATGTTATCATAAAACATTAAATGCAAAATTAAACAAATCATTATGTAGTTATATTAAGTAAAATGTGATAAAATATTTAATAATTAAAAAAAATTTTTTGAAGACTTTTTTGTTAGCTAAACAAATGCTTTAAGGTAATGGCCTGCTTTGTCCAAACCATGTATATAAAACCATTTCTATTAAGAAACTAAGAAAAACAAAGAAAACAACACTCCACAGTTTTTCTAGGCAACTTATGTTAAGGTATATGTTCAGTTTCAGTCTAATGCTTGTGATTATTGTTATACTTGGATGGTAAAAGTCAATCTGATTAAATAATGGTCTCAAAATGGTTGCACGCTGCACCTGTACCTTAAACTATTCCTGCTCCACTTTCTTGTTTCCTCCTTCTCTTCCATCTTCTGCTCCCCTTCCTTCCCCTTGTCCACCTCCACACCCATACTAATGTCATCGTTCTTTCCCTCTGCATCAACTCTATGACAAAAACTGTTACTTGTCTTATCACCAACTAAAAACAGGATTTTTGTTTATTACAATTCTTTTGAAACTGATTGTGTTAAAACAATAATATAATATGAACAAATTTGGAGGAACAGATAAATTGTAATATTCATATTTTTCTTACACTGGTAAAGCTAAACATATATTTAAAAATATACATTGAACTTTGAACTTTTTGTTTTTTCTTAGCCTTGCCTGACTCTAATCACATTGTTCTTTCAGATCTGTGGTAGCTTTTTTTAAATTGCTTCTCTCCTTGTTACAATTTGATTATAGCTATGGCCATAAGGCAAAGAAAGCTGTGGCCAAAATATCTAACTTAATAAAGAGAGGATTCTAAGGCCTATACACACATTTCTCTGTAGATTTTAGTTTGGCTTTTAACATGGACCAATCTTGCTTAGCTTGTCATAAAACCAATTTCTTCACGTGTCAATAGCTTACTATTAAATAGTTCAGGGAGATGCTTACATTACAAACAATATGAATTGTCACGAAATGTATGAATTCACAAGCCTCAATCAGAAATATTTCAGACCGATGAAATGCAGTGACATGTGTGACCAGCAGCGGAAGGCTGAAGCAAACAAACTTGGCTGCACCCGTTTTAGCCGTAATACCCTCTATTTCTTTTTTTTTATAATGTGCAAAATGAGAAAATTTTTTGCCTTTGTGGATGTTAACATGGTTGTGTGTTGCCCCCGACCGGATTTTGCAAGAGTTTGATATATCAGTTAGCTAATTATGAAACAAATCAAGCTACTACTGCTGCTTTGATTGGGTCACCATGGGAAGCAGGAACCCAACCAGCTTAAAGAATTGTACTGAATATTCCTCCCTTTTGTGAGCACTTTCTACATGAGGCTTTCCTGAATGATATGTGTAGTTCAATTTGAATTCTACATGGTGTCCGTCTGGATTATGCCAAGTTAGGCAGATAATACAGATTTTTTTCATAACAAAGGCAACCATTTCTATTAATAAATTACTGCATAGGAATAGTTTCCTACTTATTTTATCATGGTGTCCAATAATCCATCTTCTGCCACGGATCCATCTGGCTCATGAGAGGCTCATCCGCATCTCCAAAAAGCTAACAGAAAGAGGCTGGGTACACCATGGACAGGTCACCAGTCAATCAGTGGTGGCAACACAGCACAACACATAGACACACCTAACGCCAACAGAAGCTAGTCAACCTAATAGTCCTGTTTTTGCACTGTGGAAGGAAGCCAGAGTACCCGCAGAAGGAACCCATACATGCATAGAATGAACATGCAACTCCATGCAGAAAGACCCTGGGCCGGGAATTGAACCCAGGACCTTCCTGCTGCAAGGAAACAGTGCTACAAACTGCACCACTGTTCAGCCATATTTTTATTTTTTATTTGTTGTTTCATTTCTTTACCTATAAATTAACTTATATTGTTGACTTTTTAAAAGTCCTTTGTTCTGCTCTTATGAGTTGATACTGTACAAGCAGCAGATGTGAACTTTCTCCACAGAATGACCAGGCAATTGCTAGGGAGACTATTAGTGCTCTTACTATATATGAACTTGGGTTGAATGGGATGTGCTAGAGTTGGTATATTTATTCTCTTGTATAAGCTTACTGTCCCCTTCTGGGATGCAATCTTTTACTTTTGTCATTGTTATCGGTCTGTATTTCATTGGGTCTCTATGTCCTTGCAGTGCCTTTGCTCTCAAGAATTTCCCATTGGAAATGAATCTGATAAAGTATATCTTTATCAATCCTACTAATTGTTCTAAATTAGTTTAAACCCAGGTTGGACCTCATCTCAATATGTCAAGATGAAGTTTGGTTCTTAAATATAAAACCTACACTGAAGTACATCATCACATCAATTCATTGGTCATGGTTTTTAACCCTTTAAAGACATTTTCCTTTTGTAAATGAGTCATTCGCTTTATTCAAATATATTTATTCAATAATTAATTTAAGTTTAATTATTTCTGTTATTAAATGTTTACATTAGGACAAAGGCTATTGTAAACTTACATATGTATGCAGAATGCCAGTCCCCGTATCTTTTCTTGTTTGTCCCAATATCACTTTTAGAAGGAAAAACCTTTTACAGACCAAAAGTCTTTTGATTAAATATAAACTTAAACAACATATTGTAATGCAATTCGGAGTTCCCTGGCTGGGTGTTAAGAGTTTTTAAAAGTGCTAAAACATTTCTGGAAACACAACATTTTTTTCAAGACCTTAAACACAAATCCAAAAAAAAAAACAAGGTCCAAACCAAAGAATGTGTTCATTTCATACACAGAGTAAGAAAGAACACCTCAGAGTGTTCATTAGACATCACAGAATATAATCCAGACACAACAATCAGTGCATGGAGCTAGCAAAATATTGCTGTTGCAAATTTAAGAAAAATAAAAAATTTGCTGAGATTCATTCACTAACAGTTTGTCATTGTGTATGGTCTTGCCGGAGGACATCATTCTCATTGCAGGCCCATTCCCCCTCTTGCCAAGCAATGGGGAAATAATCCTTTGGTTTGCCAAAGTGTTGTTTTTTTTTAAGTAGAGAACAATAAATCGTTCAGTTTGGTATATAGACAATCTCCTAATTTACATATTTTATAAAACACCTAAACTGACCCTTTGTTGTTTTTCTTCTTTCTTTTTTCTGTCTTAATGAGAGCAGTGGGCTTTATGCTGCCCTTCAAGGCTTTAAACCTGGGTGTGTATGGAGACAAAGCCATTCTAAAGCACATATAAGTCCTCATTTTGAGCCCAGATCGACATTTATTTTTGAATATGTTCATGGTGGGGAATCCTGCTTCACAGCAGTAGGTTGAGCTAAACGTACTAAAAATGTGCAGGGTCATCTTTGAGCATTTCACTTTTCTGTCACCAGTTCACAGCAGTTCTTCAAGCAGTCCACACTTTCTCTGCTCTCTTTTTCTCATTGTTTTCTCCATCTTTCCCATCGCCCGGCTTACCACACGTTTGCCTGCTGTGTCTGAAAGTAGCTAATAGCAGCAGTAGCCCTGATTGACACAGCTCATTGGCTAACTTGTATCACGTGTAGCCTGGCACTGAGCACTTCGGAGGGCTTTACCGTACAAACAGGAGAAGCAGCGCAAGTGAAATTAGACACTGCCGTCGGACAACATGCAGTAATTTATAAATGTCTTAAATCAGGTTGGGTCCAGATTAGCCAGTAGGTTGGTCCGGATCCGAACCACGGTCCGCTAATCCGTGACCTCTGCTTTACAAGAATGAACACTTATATAATCATAGGCCTGTTCCATAGCCTGCAGTAAGTTTTCCCTATTATAGGTCTGTCAGTCATAGATCGTCAGCTGCCATGCAGAAAAGACATCCCATTGGATTCAGGAAGGTGCTCTTCCCTTGATGAATCAATAGCTGTTGGTGAACTATTCCTATATAAGGGCAGCATGGTGAATACCGACATTGTCTCAAACTATGGCAATCATTATATTACGTAGACCACCAAAAAAGCCAGAAGATGTTTAATTTTATAAGTCCCCAGGTATTCATCCCGGGCGAAAACTCCCTTGTTAATTATGGCTACACTAAGGGTGACATTAGTACCATGCTGGTCAGTCTTCCACAATGACAGGTTCCTGCCTCTCTGCCTCCTTTTCACCACCTTAAACTTCACCTCCTACCTTATCTATGAAGGGGTATTAATGGGGCCTTTCTATGGAATCTAGTTAAAAAATTCTCTGTAAAGAAAGCAGACCTTGAAATAGACTTGCATACAATACAAAATGTTTTAGGGTACTGTAATATAGCATTGGCAAATACCAGCCTTAAGAAACAGTCGGCCTATGAGCAAATCATTAATAATAATAATAAGTATGTGTACATTGCACTCACTTGCATCTACTGATGTGTTAGATCTTTTTCACTTGCAGAGTTGCAGTCAAAGGGTAATCTGAGTTTTTGTTTTATATGAAGTCTGTTGTGTTGAAGAACAATCAATTAGTTGACAGAGTTGTACTTGTCTTTAGTTACTCTTTGCTGGACCTTTTGGAGTCTGGGAGCATTTTTAAGAACCATTTTAACAATTAGAGTTTTTTGTATTGGGAGTAAATGGCAGTCTTTCCTCTCTCAATTAGTTGTCTTGTAGTTCCACAAAGTGGGAAATTTTCTTACAGCTGTACACAGGCAGTAAAAATGGGATTGTAATTAACATTACAGTATACCTACAGTATGTCAGTTAACAGTTTTCTTTTTCTGAGGGTCCTTACTAGGGCTGCAACTAATGATTATTTTGAAAATCGATTAATCTGTCAATTATTTTTTCTATTAATCGATTAATAATCATATAGCCAAAGGTTCCTTAAAGAAAACTTTTTTTTTTACATAATTAAACCAGGTGGAACTAAAACTTTTCCACTTGTGGAGTGCTGGATAGAGCATATCGATAGATAAAAAAGTTTTTTGTATCTTCAGTGCAAAATGTTGATATTTTTTTTGACAATATTCATATAATTACTGCTGTAAGTGGTTTGCTCTGTCAGCTGAAGGCCTACTTTAGTGTCTCTAATCTATTTAATGATTAATCAATTATTAAAGTAGTTGACAATTACTCAAATAATAAATTAATCACGATTAATCTGATTAATTGTTTCAGCCATAATGCTAGTCAAGGATAATCTACTTAGATTAGGTTTGACTTTTTGTCCTGCTTCTCTAATTGTTAGCCCCAAGAAAAGGATAAGATGTTAAATATTTGCCTGGATTTCATTAGTGATGATTGCTCTCTGCCTTTCTCGTCAATCATCTCTCATATGTACTCCTCTGCCTCTCAGTATGGTTCTGTCCATTGTAGCTGTCCACACATGTGCCACCTGTGCTACAGACCTGGCTTTTGACCCACCCAGTTGGTCAGAACATCATTAAATGCAAGTGTGTTTAATTCTAAGTGATGTGTTGTACTTGGTTTTACATTTTGCTGTGTTTATAATTTTGCAATGCAAATAAATCACAGTGTGAAATGTATTTAGTGACTGAGAATATGTTTAAAATGTTGCAAATTTCAGCAGATGTTTTTTGCAGATTGTTTTTAAGTACTGGAAAAGTATTTGAGGTTTGGCCAAAAGAGTATATAATTAAGAAGTTCAGGAAAGTGAGAATTTGATATGCATTTTTTTAATGTGTTTATCTTCTCTCACAAAGCAGTACTATTGTGGATGTAGTCAGAGGGGCGTCTTTTCATCTTCTGTCTGAATCCAGAAGAGATCAAATGTCCCATGAGTTGTTAGTAAATCTGGAGGGTCAAATACTCCAAAATGTGCTAAATACCACAGCTGTACATTAAATACAAATGAATGGTTGATGAATCATGAAACACTCACTATATAGGAGGGCACTTTCTAGAGGGCTGTTTACGGACGGAAAATATTTTCATGTGGTTTGGTGTACCTCCGCTGCTAATGGGTGGGTCTCAGTTGAGACTTTTTTGGATGGTGATGCACTGACCGAAGCCAGGGCAGAGCATAAGGGAGCTCTGTTCACCATGGAGGAAATGGGCGTACTCCTTGGAAACTTTGGAGTGGAGAGTCTGCATAAAGTAAATAAATAAAGGGGGTGTGGCAAAGCTGGAAAAGATTGTGGACCACCAAAACAGACACGTTTACTAAGAACTGGAGCTGCTCTCAGGCTGCTAAGATCTGATTGAAGAGAACAAGAAATATCCAGGGTAGGAAGACATTTTCATCTACATCTCTTTACAATCCTACTTTATAACCTGACTAAGCTTAAAGAATAAATACAACTGCTGTTTTTGTCTTTTAAAGTCAAGTCTTCCTTATTTCAGACTTTAACTATTACCTATATTTCAAATACTATATATATTTAGCCTCTTCCAACCTGATAAAAGGTTTACTGTACTATCTAGTTCTAATACATGTATATTTTTATATTGCATGCAAATAAAGGATAATTTTTTAATGATTTTCTTACCTGTCCCTTTTATGTGATTGATGTGATCTAACATAATAACATAATTTGAGAGTAATTGTCTCCACCGCCCACACAAACAGGCCGCTCCTACAGATAAGGATCTTTACAAACAATTTCATCCTGTCCTTATTCTACTGTTTGCCTCCTGTTTCCCTTTTGTCTCACCGTCTGTCTCTTCATTGTATCCATGAATTAAAAATAACCATCACTGGAGTTATTGTAGTCCAAATACTGCTATCCACTAATGGGTCCAATTTAAAACATTGCATTAAATTGTTTGTTTTGTTTATTTTTAATCCCCAAGTTTCAAGCATTAGCTTGGGAAAATCTGTTAGTCCAGTCACAGTTTGTTTATGGACATATGTCACACTTCTTACATCTTTTGAAAGAAGACTAAGTTTACCAGATTCAATATGAAATAAATTTTTCAAATGATTATTTCCAGTACTCCTGTTACTTCCGGTAAAATAAATGATCTAATTCAAACTTGACACACCCAGGTCTGATCGCCATTTATTTAATTAAAACACAACGAGAGCTATTACCCACAAATGGAGGAAATGTGGTACAGTGCTGAATCCCCCCTGGAGTGGCTATCCAACCAAAATGGTTCATGGGAGTTCTCAACCAACGATCACGACTTAACAACAAAAACAATAGCAAACATGGGGAGAGATTCGAAGCCTAAAACATTGCTCACAAAAAAAATCCGTTGAATGAAATAAAAGCAAAACATCTGGGTGAATCTTCAGACACTTGTCAGAATAGTCCAACCAGAAAAATATTTAACAGTTTTGAGGGTGTACATATCTACATGTCATGTCAAGGAAAAAATGGGGTTAACAATGGAGCTGCTTTTCTTCTTTAGGATTCTGTTCCCCTAAATGCAATTGATGGAACCATTCATTTTTCTCTTTTAAGGAGAGTCTGGTGTGACTTTAAGCCTAACGACTTATAGGTTATGCAGCAGAACAGGAAAACCCCACAGATGAGCCTAAATGAAATGATATAAAAAAAAGAAATTGTGGGTCAAAGTAATATTCTGCCTGAACCTGAATAGCAGTTGTTTGCATAAAGGTGGCATCCTAACATTTGTATCTAACACATAAATAAAATCATAAGAAACGTAAAAATGGGGATATATATATATATATATATATATATATATATATATATATATATATATATATATATATATTACATCTTATTACCATCTCACTTTAATTTTATGATAATTCAAGGTTCTTTTTTCTCCAAAACCTAAAACTTGATTTTGCTTTCTTTTCCACAGGGCTTTAAAAATGGCCTACTTACTCATTTTTGTCACCATGCTGCACCTCATCACGCTGGCCATGCTGTTTATTGCAACCATGGAAAAGGTAAAACTTATATACGGTATGTTTACTTTAGGGGTATTGTTTTTCGTTAGTGGCATCTCTTAACAATGTTTATTGCTTTCATTTATTTTAAAAGTCTTGGTGGGTGTGGAATCCCACAGAAAGTTCAGACCTTTGGTACAACTGTAGGTTTGACAACTCTACAGGAACCTGGCTATGCGCAACCACCAAAGAAACAGGTTAGCCTTTATAGATTGGATTTGTCCGATTTCCAAAAATAAGGACGTAAACTCATTGAAATAAATTTGTTTTATTTTATCAGAGTGGCTTCAGGCTGTACAGGTCCTCATGATTCTCTCAGTGGTCTTCTCCTCAGTCTCCTTCTTGGTGTTCTTGGGCCAGCTGTTCACTATGTCAAAGGGCGGACTGTTCTACTTCACAGGACTGTGTCAGGTCTTTGCAGGTATTTATTCATAAGAAACAGACACCTCAAAGGGAAAAAAACCCTTTAAAACATCCTCCAATTCCAGATACAACTTGGTAAAAATTATGACAAATATAGATTTTTGAACAATTCCTTGGTTCATTTAATAATATCTTAACAGGGTCTCAGAGAAGTTACAACTTCAAAATTGTGCTCAGTTTATGTACTTTTTTTGTTCTAAGTAACCTCCTGTGTAAGCTGTTGCTCAACAGTTGTTTTGTCTTTGTGCATTTGTGTGTTTAAAGGTCTGACTGCTTTTTCTGCCGCACTAATCTACACTCTGCACAATAAGGAAATCCTCCCAGACTCAAAAAGCCCGACATCAGGAGACTTTGGCTATTGCTATATCTTGGCCTGGGTGTGCGTCCCTTTGTTGTTGTGTAGCGGAGTAATGTATATCCACCTGCGTAAGAAGGAATGACCAGACAAAGAAGATCGGCATTGGCAGCTTTAAGATTAATGGAACTCAGTTCAGATTTTTGGAAACGCAGCTTTTGAAAAAGCAAAATGACATAAGGGCTCACTCTTTACCTAATGTTTTAATTGTATCTGTATATATTAAAGCAAAACATATATTTGACTGAACCAGCTATTCTGCTCTGAGCTCTCGACTTGTACGACATCTGCTTTAATAGAACATTTTTGTAACCTTTTCCCTCAAACTTTTTATGTAAAATGCCTTTTTGCTAAATCTTCAAATAAATATCACAAAAAGGAAAGACTAAAACTCTTATTTTCAATAGAAAAATCCACAGGATGTTAAGGCAGTAAAAAATTGTCCAAAGTTAAAATCTAGAGAAGTGCAGGAAATGGGTGCATCTTGGGGTCACCAGGTCTCCATAACAACCATTAGATGATATCTAAAATCCAAACAGTTGTTCGGATGTTGTGTCCAAAAATATAAAGAAGCCTTTTTTTTTTCTGGGACCATAACCGGAATTGTGTACTTTACTAAAATGAGAATAAGGCTGAGCTTCTTAGCAACACACACTCCATGTTGGTTTAATTTAACACATTAGGTGGTTTTCAGTCCTGGAGCCACAGCAAGATGAAAAGACAGAGCAAGGATAGATGTCTGTCCTGGGGGTGGGATCTCAGTGTCATCCAGGTTTTAGACCTGATTTCCATTAGAAAATATACAATTAATACTAATTATTATAAAAATAAATCAAGAATAACCACAGTTATCAGATCTGTAGATATTACTAAATACTTTGTTCTGCAAAATGGACTCTCCTGCAGTACCTCCACGACCCACTAGGGGTCACGACTCCCACATTGTAGACCTCTGCAGGATAAATATAGCAGTGTAAAACATTTTTTATCCTCCTTAGAGATTTCTTCTCTTTTTTTTCTGCAACTCTTACTATGTTTCAGATCATCATTCTTAAGTATAATTTCAGACAAAAAAAGTTCAATTTATAACTGAAAAACTGTATAAAGTCAACCTGGACCTGTGTGAGAATATGTGTTTTTTCCAAATGTATGTCAGTAAAGTTTTTTGACAAGCAAAAGATTGTTTATTTGTGGCCTGTCGTGGTTTTTGACCCTCTTATGAAAACTTGTTTTTTCTGTTCTATTTCTTATTGTTAAATCACAATTCATCAAGCAAACCACCGCAGAAGCAATCCTGCAACATTTAAAATGTGCAGCATTTTTTGTGACCTCCTGGTGTTCTCTACTGGCAGGTCTCCCACTCCTAGGAAGGTCAACCACTGCTTTATGTTTTCTCCATTAGTGGACAATGGCTTTTGCTCTGTTTTGTTAAATGGCTTCCTGCAATTCCTGCCATTTGTCTTGCGAAAAAAACATGATTAAGAGCGGGGACGGTTGTTACAGTTTTTACCTTCATCTTTTTTCTCCAAAACATATTTAAAAAATTTCATTTCAATGTTTAAACAAAGCTTAAGATCTCAACTAACAAAACATGTAAGGTACTGTCCTGTATCTCCTTCAGTTCAAAAGTGGTTGATCGCAAATCACTAACTTTCCACTTATGAAAACTAACCCCAATGCAGGGTTGTTCTTATGGTATCTTAATGGAAGGGGGGAAGAAACCAAAACATTTTAAGAGTTGGATAGGGAAATTCTACCACAAATTTAATTGATCAGTGTAACACTTTCCTGAATCAGGGAACCATAAGTTATCAAAAAATAAAACAAAAACGGTTTAATTTAAATTTCAAGTGTATGTCTTTTAGTAAAATGTCAATTAAACAAAAATCAGAATTCAAAACGACTCTTCGTATTTATTTGCAAAGTTTAAGAGCATAATAATTTAATTTGCAACCAGAATTCCAAATGTATAATTAAATATCAAATATTTATTTCTTCAATAAAATAAAGCCCTTCTGATTGATTTTGCAGCCTCACTGCCTGACATCAGTCAATATATCTTCTGGTGGAGTCTCTCCCTTTTCTGGTGTCCTAAAAAATTGCCTGCCCATTATGAACAAACAGAAACAGAGAAAGTGGTAAATATAATAAAATAGCTGGATGTGCTCTCTTCATCCTCTAACATGGGAGTTGGCTCAGAGCTTGTCTGCCTGGCTGTGTGTTTCCTGCAAGAGGCCGCCTTTTACAGTTGCTGTTTGTATCTCTACTGGAGATGACCGCTCACACTGAGCCTGGGTCTGCTCGAGGTTCCTTTATGTTAAAAGGGACTTTTTCCTCTCCACTGTCGCTACAAGCATGCTTAATGTGAGGGATTGCATTCGAATCAATAAGTCGATGCATTCAACTGGTTTTCCTTAGATAGAAAACATTGAATCAATTAGACTGTATGATCTGGTGAACTGTAAAGTGCCTTGAGATGACATGTGAAGTGAATTGCCGCTATATAAATAAACTGAATTGAATTTAATTGAACTTCTAAATTTTTTTTTTTTACCTAGGCTTAGAAACACCGTTTTAAGTGTGGCTTAGAGTCCCCTAAATATTTAGTTACATATATTTAGGGAAATAAACCAACACTTTTGCCCTACATATGCGTGAGAGCTGTTCACACACCCCTCCTCTTCCTTTTTACACTTCCTGGTTAAAATCAACGTCACCGCTAATTAGTTTCCATGGCAACCACAAACTCCGAAGAAAGTGCTGCGAATAAAACCAGCTGCCAAGAGGCTTTCTATCAACTATGGCGTCGACCTCCAGCATCCTCCCTCTTGCTTTACCGAAAGGAAAGAAAAAGTTTTGCGAGCTATGTCATGGCGAGGCGTATTTTCAATGCAGCAAGTGTCGAGTAACCTTCTATTGGTAAGCTTGCTCCGTAACCATCTTGTCTAAACATTTAATGTTTGCTCACACCATAAAAATACCCCTACTGTTAGTGAGAGAGGAGTTTATAACTGCATTGCCTATAATATTAACATTAATTTGGTTTTAGCAAGGATACGCAGACCGAACGCTAGGTGGCGGTATGAGCCACACATATCACCAGGGTGATGTGGCTGCCGTTAGGAAAAAAAGAAACAGCTGGAAACTGGATTACGACAGTGTAATAATATTTTGGTTTACCCTTGTGCTGCTGTTATATTATTTCAGTGTCACTAAACTGTCTTCTGCCATGTTTAATAGGACCAAAAAAACATTATTGGTCTTTATTTTCTGCTCCTAAAGCATAAAACTGTTCAGTAAAGCCCTCAGTGGTAGTAAACAGGAGCATGTGGAGGCCTACCCAGGGGATAATTATGATAAAGGATGAGCCACTAAAGCCAGTATCATGGAGTTTACAGCTACTAACTGTGCATGCTTTCTGTTAAACCTTTATACAGAAAATTAAGTCATAATAGAACGTACTATATTCGTAATTAAAGGTGCCATTGCACTGGATTAAAACCTAAAGACCTGCTAAAGCACAAACCTTTGCAATGTTTTGTTATTCAGTGTGCCTTAGAAAGGTGTAAAATACATTTTTCTATCAAAAATTATTTTATCTGTTTTTTTAATATTTTATAGGGCAAGTTGATATTTTTGATCACTTACTTAAGTCTAGAAGCACAAGATCTATATCCAGCCATTCAGCAAACATACTGCTATCTGGCTGTACATCTTATTTTGGCATTTGACCTATTAGATGAGCCCTTGAATGATATATTACCTACTGTAAATTAAGTAAATAAAGAAAAGTTAATAAGCCTACTTAAAAATTATATTCAGGTTTACAAACTCAAAAATGTAAGTGCCAGTATCAGCATTAATGCCTCTAAGGTTACGTTGTACCAAAAAAATGTGTTTCTTTCACTCTCACAGTGTTTTTTTTTATGAATTTCTTATAGAAGCTCTTTTGTTATTTTTCTTAATATATTCGGGCAAGTTGGCCTTTCTTGTTATTACATTGACATTTATTCTTGCCATCATGCTACAAAGGTAATAAGGTCATGTCCTGCATTCCAATAACACCATTGGTTTGAAATTTGGATTATTTCACTGATTGCCCTATAAAGGGTTAAGGAAGTGTAAGGCAAGTTATGAACTGAAGAGAAATTAGACATGGCTGTCAAAAATTGTAGGTAAGCAGATACCTAAATTGAAGTTGCCTTCAGAAATCATTAAACTAGTAAATAAATTCCATCTGTGTGTAATTAGTTTTATGAATCCATTTGTTCTAAGAAGGACTCAGAAGTTTTTTAGAAATTATGTACAGCATCATGGAGACCAAAGAACGGATCAAACAGGATAAGTTTGTGCAGAAATGCAAAACAGGGTTAGGCTATAGAATAATATTCTGCTCTTTACTCGTCTTAGTTAGGACTATTCCAACCGTGATCTGAATATGTAAAGAATTTGGCACAACAGCCAAACTGATAAGACATGACCATCCACCTAATCTTTTTGATTTAGGAGAACATTCAGCACCAAAGCAGCTGAGACTGCTATGGTATTTATGAAAGAGTTGCAGAGATTCTTATTTCAGATGGGAACATTTGTTGTCAGGCAAGGGGAAAGGTACAAATGGAAGTCGCTGGAAGACCAGATTTCATTTTTTGCTGCTTTCTAGAGGGTAACCATGCAATGGAAGTTTATTTTGTCAGATTAAACCGAATTGGAGAAAGAGTAGCCCTTATTTTCCCTGTTAACACACCACCCCATATAGGTGAAACATCATGCTATAGGAGGCTTTGCTTCAATAATGAAGTAATGGTTGGAGCTAAGAACAAGGCAGTCCCAACTAATCGTAATTGGTTAGAAAATATTTTGTTGAAAGAGCCACACTAATAAACCATTTGATTGATCTCAAACAACAAATCTTTAAAGCATGGCATTGATGACCAAATACGTGTTTTATCATGTTTTAAGCAAAAATGTCAAAATTTTTTCATGTTTTGATTTAATATGAAAAATAAGAAAATAAACATGTTTGCAGAGACCCTTTCCAATTAGAGCATTTCCAATTCAAACATTTTAATAGATTTGCAGAGCTGATATCACAAAAGCATCCAAGCTGTTATTGCAGAGAAAGGTGTTTAGAATAAAATACCTCAAATTTGTTGCAGTATTTTAACATAATGTAGAATATGTCTAAAGGTGTACATGACACATAAAGGGTGTGCTTAGTTAAATAGTGTAAAACCATAGCACTGTGTTAGAGTAAATTGGGCCTTGAGCTGAGCAGCATTCATAGTCCAGTTTGTGGTGATGTGGTGTGGCCAGATTTCTGCCTGATTAAAAAGACAAATGCAATGGAGGGAGCAAACATCGTCCCGGGAAAGAAATATGCACGGAAGGTTCAGACAGTTTCCACAAAAGTGTTCGGACGAAAAGATCCAGAGGAACCAAATTACAGGTTAGTTATTGTAGCTTTCAATTAAATTTGTCCTCCTTGAACTTGGATGGCTTTTAAGAATGTCAACAGAATAATAAAAAAAACAAATAAAAAAAAAAAAAACGCTTTACCCTCATACATTCTTTGTTTCTCTGGTATTTCACAACTTTTGGGACACGCTGGCCTAAAACATTACCTGCAGTGCGTCACGAACAACAGAGTGTTTCTTGGAGGTGTTGAAGTAATTTTGACTTCTTGGAATTACTGCTGTTGGGGCAGAGATGATGTCTGGCTGGATGACAGATATATTTCTATGTCTCTTTAGTAATGTGGAGCACCAGCTGGCTGACTGGGCGGGAATCCATGAAACGATTTGTCAGCTGCTTGTTCCCATACGTGCCCCAACAGATATCCCCAACCAAGCCGCCCTCAGGGCAAACCAGCTAAAGAAGGTAAATGTATTAGTGTATACATATTAAAAATGTGTACACAGCTATTTAAAAACACCATTAATGTATATTTTTTTCTTTCTTCATCTCTCAGGAAAAGTTAACTGAAAAATAACAGCATAGTGATAAAAAAAACAACTCCTTCTTAAAGATGCTATGACAACAGACCTGATGAGACCTGCAATGCTTAACTTACGCTCTCAGTTTTATTTATTGTTTTTTACTGACCTGAAAAGTATGACAGAAAAATATTAAGATTTCAAAATGAAGAATTTCTAGAAAAATGGATCTTTAATTTTCATGGTCAGTGTTTTCTACAGTGGATTATGTTTATTTCAGTCCCAAGTCTTTGGATTTTTCAGAACCACCTGAGTCTAATTTACTTCTGAAAATTATAGTTCAAAGAAATGGGATGACGTATAAGATCTGGATGCTGTATTTCTTTGAAATGTTACACAATAATTTCTCCAAGTCTTATGAATGAAGTTGGAGCAAAGGTAACCATGGGTTTGGCTGCTTTTTCAGGTAGAGCTGATTAGGATTTGCAGGTTGGAGGCTCAATGCAAGCTGTTGGAGGGAAAACATCAAGAGGCACTTCCTGCTGCTCACTGCTGCCTCCAAACATCCATTGACGTACATGGTGTTAGCAGCATTGAGCTCGTTCCTGCCTATTTGCTGTTGGCGGAGGCCAACGCTGGTAAGAGATGAGGACAGTCGGTACTTTGGGTCAGCTAATATATTTATTTTTATTTTTTACATTGCCTCATTCACCTTTCCAGGCCTGAATAATACTGCTGCTGTAGCAAGACACCTTTCAAAGGCTGAGCTCACCGTGGTGAGGAGTCCAGAACCAGGACCTTTCATCCAACACTGGCTTCATAGGAGCCTGGGCCAATTCTGCATGGCAGCTGGAAAACTGGAAGCAGCTCTGCATCACTTTGCAAATGATGTTCGAATTTTTAATAACCATTACTGACATAAACGATTTTGCAAAAGGCTTTTAATAACTGAGTGAAATCCAAAATAATTAACTCTATGTATTTTTTTTTAATTGCAGATATACTATGCCACTGAGGAGTATGGTTTTGACAGCGCCACCACCTCTAAGGGCTACTTTCTAATGGCTGCCGTGTTTTTCAGACAAAAGAAGTTGACCCTGGTTCACTACTTATATTCTAAGGTTTTCCCATACACATATTTTGCTTTATTTCTTTGTTCTTTATAATCCAAAGAGGCATTTTAGATCATGTAAGTAGTCAATCAGCCTAAAATAAACACCAGCAATGAATCTCAATAAATCAGAATATGCTGGGAAAGTAATTTAGTTCCATCATTAAATTCAAAAAGTGGAACTTGTTTATACATTTTTTACATAGCGGTATCAAATGTCTGTTTCTTTTAATATAGACAATTACGGCTGATAGTTTAAGAAAACCCAAAACCCTTCTACTAATTTCTGAAAGATAAACTTCATTTCTTGTCATTTCATATATAGCCACACAATTATCACAAATACAGTGAGTGACACCCTCCATATGATGGAAGTCCCTGCAAGCTGTCTGTTTACAGAATGTTGTACCTAAGCATATTAATGGAAACTGAGTGGAAGATACTATAAATACATGCTTTGAAAATATTTTACCTGTGTTAAAAATGCTTTATCTGTTGGTCTAATATAATATTTTAATTTCCTAATAAAATGAATATAAGGTTTTCATTAAGATTCAGCCATAATAACAAAATGACCAGATAAAAACACCTGATTTATATATATTTTGTGAACACTAAATTACGTCTTAAAAAGAACAGTTTCAGCCAGAATGTGAGAAAGAAAATATTTGTGGTTTGTATTTGCTCGTGTGGTTTAATATTTTTTCTTTATTTTCTAAATTTAATCTAATAATTCTTTGTTTATTTTGTAGGTCGCACAAAGTTGGCACAACCATCTCAGCGGTCTGTTGAAAACCTACACCAATGTCCTCCAGAACTCTGCTGTGTCGCCATATTCCTCTTATGGTGGATATTTCTTTAATCAGTTCTATAAAACAGAGATCTAAATACAGCTAAACATATACTTACTTTACTCTAAGCTATAAAAAAAACAAAAAAACAGAAAATATCCCCATCTGTCCATCTTAAATCACACTTCAAACTCTAGCCAAGAGCTCCATTAACGTACAAACTAACAAATGAGAAACTGAAAGAAAAATAAGGTCAACTGAGCTATATTTAGCTGATCTGCCTTGCTGTGCAGCCCAAAAGCTAAACCCCAGATTTACACGCTTAGGGCTGACTAGAGACCACTGCTGACACAACGCTGGCTGAGCAGCATCCGCACTACTTGCCTCTATCACAGCTGCTGCCCTACATGTATTACTAAGCCTGTTAGCTGCAAAGCAACTTCCCAGGCTTAATGTGATGTTTGCTGACGAAAGCAGGTGAGAAAGGATGCTGAGAAAAACTATAAACATTTAACAGACACACCCTAAGCAGAACACTCAGAGAATTCTTATTTATTATACATATTATTTTGTGTGTTTTTAATAACATTCAATTCACTTTTAAGGTGAAGGTAAGGTAAAAAATAAAATATCTTTTCTTTTTTTATATATACTTTAACTAGAAAAATCCCAGCTGGTTGAAATGGAGGAGATGCTGAGAACCATGTTGGAATTTCAACAAAAGGAGTTCAGAAAAAACGCAGTTCAGGCAGCGCTGTTGACCCACTGCCTGGCCATGTTGTGGCTGCTCAGAGGAGACTTCCAAAAGGTCAGTGAGCTGACGAGGTGACTCTGTGACACCGTTTCCTAGATCTTCCAAGCATTGTCTAAAGATTGGATTACTACTAATTGGTGACCCTGTAAACACAAGGAGCATATTAGTGGGATATTTAGAGAGAGTCGCGACAATCTGATCCTGGACTTGGCCTAGTGTACTGTGACTGCAAGTACTTTATTTCTTGTCGCCATGGCTCCTTTCCTACCTTAAACACCTATTAATGGCACTTTAAGGTAGGGTTTATAAATAGATTTCTCATTGTTAGGAACAGACTAAAAATGTTTTCTAAAACAACAAAACAGAAAACATCTGACACCTTTTTTAAGCAAAATTATTTGGCCATTTTTCTAATTTCCAATCTATTATTTTACACATAAAATCAATGTGTTTTGTATGTATTTCCTTCTTTAACAGCCAAATAGAAAATAAAAATTATAATAGCATCACATAGTCCCTGATAATGTTCAGTCTGGAGATGGAGGTGCCAAATGTTTGGACACCACTGTTGTAAGAGGTATGAATATTTTTACAAGCCTCTATGTAATGGATTTAATATATCATCATAAACCACCTAAAACTTTTATGTTAAAATGATCTTTATATTATAAATAATTCCTACTTCATATCTTAGTAATAAAACACAAACGTATTTTAAGAGAGGCCCCACCCACCAGTGCTCAGACTCTGGAATGTTGGTGGGATGTCCTTCGCAAATGAACAGCTTTTTTCAAGTCCATCCATTACATTCCTGTTGGATTAAGGTCATTGACTTGGATATTGAAAAGCAATAACTTCAGTCTACTTTAATAATTTTGAAATGCCTTGCATGCTTTTGAATAGTCTCGCTGTGTGACCCACTTTCTCCTGCATTTCTCATTACAGACAAATGTCCTGTCAGCTCCATCTGAAATTCACTTGTATTGATTTTATCTAAACAATTATGTTACAAATAGCAAAACGGCTTCAAATCGCGATTTTGTAACCTGTTGAAATGCAGTTCCACTTTGGTAGATAAAATTACATTTTGTCTATAAAATTAACACCCATCTTTCAGCTTGTGAAAGATGCAGACAGGGCTGTCTCTTATAATTGCATATATTCGTTTATGATTTTATAACCATCTTAAATCGATTCCCGTAATCAACGAGCACAGCATATCAGCATGTCAGTAGGGTATCTCAAGTGGGTTAAATTAAGCTGAACGTGTGGTCTAGTTTCAGTGACATCATTATAAAAGCCAGCTTTGCTTTCCCAAGAGGCTCTGACGAGCCGTGCTTGTGTTTGTTTCCGTGCCAGGCGCTGGGATTTGGCAGCACAGCCCTGCAGGCCAGCCAGCAGATAGCAAAACATGACCTGACAGAATCCATCCAGGGGCTGCTGCAGCAGGTGCAGAGTCTGCAGGCTGAACCACGGCCTGCTTCTGGTTAGGCAACACCCCTGCTCTGCCTTTTGGTTCTTCCCTGAGATCTATTCCAACGATGTTTTCAACCTTACAGTTCATCCACACAGGGATGGAGAGAGTAGCTGAAAAGTTAAATAATAAAACATTTTATTATTCATCCACTTATCATTTGTGAATGTATGTACTTTGAAGAAAGATGCCCTTTTTCCTGTTTTAACTTTTTAGACTTAAATGTATAAAAGGTAAGTAATCAAATTATGATTTGTAAAAGAGAAAAACTTCATTATGAAACCACAATAACCATCTAGTTGACTCCTGAACTGATGTATTAATCCTCTTCAGGACCTCAACCCACCCTCATTATTTAAATCATTAAATTAGAAGCTGTCTAGTAACAAAGCAGGACACACGATCTCATAAAGCAACACACCCCAATTTAAAACAGCTCAAGAACAGCAGAGAAACAAAGTTCTGATATCTTTAATCTGGAAAGGGTTAAAAAGCCCAATCTGAGCCACCGGGTTCCAGTGAACCACAAAAACATGCAGCAAGTGATAAACCTTCCCATGAGTGTCTGGTCTACCAAAATTACTCCAAGAACCCATCGACGACTCATCACACAGGAACCCAAAACGCATCTAAGGCTCTGCAGGCCTCACTTGCATCAATTAAGGTCAGTGTTGATGATTTAATGATAAGGAAGAGACACTGAGTAAAAATGACCTCCACTACAGAGTTTTATGACCGAAAACATTGCTGACCTGAAGCAACATGAAGACCCAACTAACATTCAACAAAAACATGTTAAATACTTAGCAGAAAATGAGCTGTGGACAAGGAGACTAATGTGGGACTACAGGATCTGCAGTTCTCCTTAAGTTTTAGAGAAACAAGATCATCACTATAGTTATGTAACGACTGGCTGCCAGTTTCTGGTAAACACTTATAACAGTTGCTGCTAAACTAGTGATCAGGTTTTTGGAGGCAATCTCTTTTTTGGTTCTCTGTTTCTTCATAAAAAAGTTGATTTTAGATATTTTATTAGGTTAACTTTGCTTGATAACATTTTTTTTTTTTTAGATGAAACGTCTTAAACGTCAACGTTTGACTAAAAAAGCAAAACTATAATTGTTTCCTCTTACATGCAAACTTAAAACAATCAAATAAAAATCCAAAGGGCACATTTTCATTGGTTGGAATAATGACTCTTTATTCTAATCAAAAAAAGATGGATCTATATTTACATGATTTTGGACATTTGTGAACAACAATCTTAAGCCAGAAATAAAACAAAGCAAAAGGGAAGTGACATTTACTGGGACAGTTTATGCAACCACTTTCATATTTTCCATCTTAACAGTCTTGAACTCCTTTATAAAATGTGCGGAGAGCTGCAGTGAGTCACGTAAGCTCAAAGTCGCTTTCTTCCTGCAAACATACATATATCTGAAACCTTTCAGGAAATGTAGGTTTTAAAACAGATCTTATAGGCAAGTGTAGTTTGATTTAATATGCTAAGACACAATGTATGGTCAAACAGTCTGAAAACCACTTCACTGTTAGTGTTATATTAAGTTATCTAAAACAAATAAAGGTGGGTCTGTTTTTTGACATTTAAATTCCCTTTTTTAAACAAGTAAATCAATGGAAAACTTAAATTCCCTTTTTTTAACAGCAGAACTGGAAATCTAACAGTAACCTTTTCAAAGTGGAGTTTTCCACAGTTATAAAACCTTCCTCTGGGCTGTCCGTGGACCCTGCTCCACAGTAAACTCTGTTTACTTTCCTTTGCCATATTCCTTCAGTAGCTTTTCACTTCATTGTAGGCAACTGAATAATTATGATCAGACAGAACTGAAAGCAGATTATAATCCAGATGTACTCTAAATACTAGGAAAACCTGAACGCAAAATCAGAGCCATCAGGCTGATGTTAAATGAACTATTGTCTGTATATATATATAAATAGATGAATGAAGCAATTGCATAACAGGGTCTGTGAGAGAGAAACAAGTGTTTCTTTCTTTTGAAATGGCTGTGCGATCTTCATTTATGTTAAAGATGCTTGAATAGAGGCTTTAATATGCTGTTGATGCTGGGAAGGGTTCACCATGTGAGCATTCCATCATGTCAGGAATGTGGGCGATGTCAGATTTCAGTCTTTGATGGATTTGATCATGTAGATACCACACAACATCACAGTAAAGGTGTAAACGGAGCCACTGCGATAGTGCTGTAGTCAAAACCACACCAACCAAGACCGAGGATTACCGAGACCTTATATGGTCTCCGCCTCTAAATGTCTTGGTATTGTCTCAGTACTTCTCGGTTGTTGGGGTCTTGACTACAACACCTCACTGCGATCACAAGAGTTAAAAAAATAAAAAGCTGCCCTGCCCCCCCTCGTTTACCTGCTGGACACCATACAGTTACAAATTTGGCCCCCGACAAAGGAAAATGGAAAATCAAGCTTCACAGAGGTTTCACTTTATTGACACAATATTAGTGCACACAAACCACTTTTTTTCTTCAAAAAAATCCCATAAATTAGGAAGAAAACATGGAACATTATGAAACAAGCAAGGAAAAAAGTGCATGTTAACCATGGTATACACCACATACTGTAGTTTACAACCTTTTTTCATTGTTGTTATTTTTTTTATCTTTTTGGTCTACATGTAAGTATGTGTTATGTTTATGACATGTTTTAAGGAAGGGTCAGGACTGAGATCCAGGCTGCTTCCCTGAGTTGTGTTCAACAGAAAGAGTTACGAGCCTAAAGAGAGCTACGTGGACAATTCAGGGTTTATATTTGTGCTTTTGATCAGAGTTGGCCTGAAAATGTTCCCTAAGTCATGGAATACTGCTTCATACCTTATGCATCTGCCTTAACTGTCACCAGGTACACACAAGTAAAATCCACAGGAACAAAAGCTGTAAACAATAAAGTCTTGGCAGCTGTTTTAGTTTGTCTCTCTTTCCTCCATTAAGGAAAAAAAAATCTGTTAAATACAACTTTAAAGAAATATTTTTTTGTTTGTTTTCTTTTTTAAAACGTGGGTGTCTTCAACAACTAACAGCAAATTAATGGAATGATAAAAATCTATAATTACATGACTGAACTAACCCAATCCACAACTGCCCAACCTAATTGCAGCTTGAGTCTCTTAAAATCACAGGTCTGTACAATCCAGTTTATCCACAGTAGATCACAACAACAGCAAAGTTGGCCTTTTTTCTCTCTGTTCCAGTTTTATCAGCTGCATACTACTATGCTTAAACTAATTTTGATATCTCAATTAATAACAAAAAATATATAACAGACATAAAATACAATGGTATTTTAGGTCCTAGACATGAGAGGAAGGAACACCTGGTTTAGAAGGTGAGTAGAGCCTAAGCTGATATGTTCTGTATGTGTTTGGGACGTCCTATGGCAGTGAGACATCTCTGTTTTGAGGTATACTTTGCTTTCAGGTAATGAAACAGCTTAAAAACGGTCTCATTCTTCCTAAATATGTCACTAAGAGATAAAAAGACAAAACGCTTTTAGTAAAGTGCTAGGCATTTCATGTTTTCCTTAAGAAAAAGCAGATGGCTGCTGCTGGTAATCCAACACAATGGAACCTAAAATGTTGGAAATTAATTTTTAAATTTTTGAGTCCTAGCAGAACAGGACAGCAAATTGCTGATATAAAGTTTGCACACCTTCACTCAGGTCCCCGTCTTTTCTGCCCTTTTCATGAACACTTTATGACTAAATTGTAACTGACGGAGTGACATGCCTAGCTTGAGGGTACATTCAACTTAGAAATACTTCATTTTGCCCAGCATCGACCAAAGATAACCGCATCAGCAGAACCTTTCAGATCTTTTTTTTTTTTTTTTTTTACATTGTGAGGATGTTTAAATACATGGCATTTAATGAAATTCTTCAACCATACAAAATAAAATAATACACACTAGCAGACGCCAGTTTTGGCTGATATCTCATATGCTGTATGCTGTTAAGGTTAGTTGAGAGCATACCCTGATTTTAGATACCTTTAAGGGATTTCAAGAAAAAATGCAAAGAAAAGAGAATCAGGGGAGCAGCCGTAGATCTCAACAGGTGAAGGCTCGTGTTTAGATGTTGCTGTCACAATGTTCTTTTGTTTCTCTTAGCTGTTTTTTTTTTGCACAGAAATTATGATTATTTGTTTCGGAGTGTTTTTTTTTTTTCTATGTGTGATTTTACAAGTGTATGTACTGTATGTGTTTGATGTGTGTTGTGTAGGGGGAGTGTGAATGAATTCTCACTCAGTCAATAGCTTGATCTCATTGGCCAGGAGGGTGTTAAAGTTGTAAGCTGCGTCGGGAAGATCGGGGAGGTCGGAGGCTGAGGAGTGACGGGGCGACGACTGCGAGGGCTCGGCCAACTCTGGGTCGCTCTCGCTGGAGGAGGAACCCACGCTCATGTTGCAGACAGCCTCTGGCAGGGAGCCCCCGCTGGTGTTCACCATGCAAACCTCGGGCTCGCTGCTGGTCTCGCTGGTGCTGGATACCACGGACAGTAGGGACATCTTCCGAGTCAGGCGGCTTGGGAGCGTTGAAAGGGCAAAGTCAGCTATAATCCCCGCCACGTCAATCCCGCAGGCCTGGTCGAAGGCGATGAAGCCCACGTTGGCATTGGCCTCGCAGACGACAAACGAGCCGTCGTTGAGCTGCAGGAGATCCACACCGCACACGTCCATGCCCAGGATGTTGGACACCTCAATGGCCAGCTGCTTGCCCTGCTCACTCAGAGGGCACATCATCCCCACACCACCTAACAATTTGGAGACGTGGGTTTGTGAATACATCTGATTTTAGTCAGTATAGTGAAAAAATATGGTTGATAAATAAAGAAACATGATAAACAATAAGTATATTGTTCTGATTTTAATTCTGGTATAGGACTAAATAAAAATGAAAATGCAAGTCTCCTCTCCATATTTCTCATATTTGTACCCCAATCTGTCCCATAAACTCAGAAAAATCTGCCGGCCAATGTCCCAATTATGTCAGAGCCCTTCATCTTCAGCTAGACTAAACATACTCATCATCGCTTTACAAATCAGCCTCATCAGCTAAAGGGTCTAATAAACACTACCTGAACACATTAGGACAGACATATTCATACACACTGATGGTCAAAGAAACCAAATTACAGCTTAAATATAGTAGAATAAAACCTATCAATATAGACGTTAAATTATTAATAACATCAAGAGCCATTAAAGCTATTTAAATAACTTAGATAAACTCACTACTGACCGGTCAGACTTTCAGTTTTGTGTCTTTTTTAGGCAATCTTGAACTGAAATGCTCATTGACTCTTAAAGCTATGTAGAAATCACAAATACACTTAGATTTGCATAACTGCCTTGTAGCAAGTCGGAGAGGCAGCAGAGTTTTGCAGAAAAGAGCAAGACTTTTTTGCACCCACCTTACTTTTACGAATAAATCTATAAATATGAGCCAGGTTTACTGTAGATCTATTTTAGAACCAGTCTTAAAGTGTGCTGGGATTAGGGTCCTTTTGTGACACTAACTAGTTTCTCTGTATGAACCCTTCAGCTCTTTAACTTAGAAGACTTTGAATTATCAACCTCCATTATTCTATCCACTGTATGCAAAACATCAGTGTCACTGCAGTAAAGCAGACTCTGCAGTATGCTGCCACCACCTGACAGCTGGTGAATTAGGTCCTTTTCAGGTTTAAAAGCCCTGCGATAACTTCTTAAAGCATACCTCTGACATTTTGGCAAAACAAACAGTACCAGTTGACCATTAAGTTCTCCAGAAGACATTGGACTCGTCCATGTGGGAAACTGCTGGCTTTGCTGGAGCCTAAAGGTATCTGTCTTTCAGCAGGAACCTCTTTCTTGGTTAGCACCCTCTCAACACATGCTAATACTCAAACAATTTACCTGGCTGTGTTTAAAACGAGCTGCCACAATGAAAACGTAGAAAATGCAAGGACATGAGAGTGGCAGAACTGTCAACTGTAAGGACAAACTAAATAGGCATGTGCTGTAATCAAACTAATGTGATTGGTGCCTCTTAGGAATTTGCCTACCCAGGGAGCAGTTGCTCTGCATGCGTCCATCGGTGGAGCAGCGAAGCATGGAGCCAATAACACGTCCGCCCACCAGGACCACTCGTACGTCACGACCGTGAGACTCCTTCACGTACTCCTGAAACAGGTAGGGGGTATCGTGGCGAATCAAGTGACACAAATCTGTCAGGTGGTGTTTGTCGCGCGCCAGGAACACAGCCTTGCCTAAGAGAAGGAAGGAGAGACTAAATGAGGAGAAGAAAGGAAAAATGAGCAACTCTTCAGGCTATCGTCACACACAGACTTGTTCAAATTAAAATAATATCAAGTAGTTGCAGGGTTGGTTAATTATGAAATGAGAGTTTAGGCTGAATAGCTTCCTTAGCACCTTGGTGGCAAACAGCTGCTCTCTGATGAGCAACTCTCATGCAATTTCCCATTTCTCAAATAACTGACAGGACCTGCAGAGCCTCTTCTCACACAGGATAGAAGATGCCTGTTTTAATTAGCACAAGATGGCTCTGTCTCTCCAGTGTCTGGTCCTATGAACTGTTCCAGGGATAATCCTTTTATAACAATGTTATTACACAACCAAACAAGAGTAAATCTTCAGATTTTAATCAGCAAAGGAGTTGGTTTGAAGTAGAGTACAAACAAGGCAAGCACAAAGTTTAATTCTTCGAATACAATTGTTATAGTTTGGTAATTTGGGATGTTGTGAATTATCTGACCCAAGTGTGCATTTCTTTACAATCATAATGCATCTAAAAGGAGTATCCTCACAAGGAGACTAAAAAACTCAGGGCTACATAAAATTTGTTACAGTTGGGTAAATGGTACGTGATGGAAACCTCGGCTTCGGAATATCCTGGTTATTTCTTCATCCTGCCTCTAAATAAGTCAATAACTATGAATAGAAATCAGCTAATGGTCCTGTGGTAATGGCAGGGGTGGGGGTTGTTGTCTTGAAGGCAATGCACAAGTGTCTCAAACCCTCCACAGATGCCCTTCATGAACTTAACTGAGTGTTAATTCGTAACCTAAAGACAGGAATTATTAACCTGACTATATGAGGCTTTATTTTGTGGCTGCAGCATAGTGCTAATCATTTAACACTTTTTGAATGAACGTCATGTCAGGGAGGACTGAAATGTAATGTGGTGACCTTGTTGAATGACAGGACGTAATGGGGCTTATTCTCTTACCTCTGTGGCCGCGAGCGTTCTTCACCACCACTGGGTATCCCAGCGGCTCTGCCTCGTCGATCATCTTACGGAAGTTGTCGTGTCCCCCTGAGAAACACCCATCCAAACACACGCATAGACACATGCAGCAACAAACACACATTAAACCGAATTAGGAGCTGGGATTGCTTTTTGACATGGTTCACACATTACAGCCAATCTGGTAGGATCGGCAGAGGGAGAGAAACGTGTTGCTATGGAAACAAGGGTTTACTCAAAACACCGATGCTGTGGGAGTGCTGCCTGACTCAAATCTGTTGCCTTGATTCGCAGAACAGAAGAGCGGAGTCACTGACCGATGCATTGCATGTAAAGCAGCTGAGCTTTTTTTGACAGCGATTTATAATGGCAGCCTGTTGCAACGGATGTGCTTCAGCTTCCTGATTGGACTTTCGAGGGGAAAAATGGGTCATTCAAATGTTCGTTAATATCTTTTTTTTTTGTTGCATTTTCTTCCCTTTTTCACTCCTGTGTCTGTCTCAATGTCTCCCTCGTCCTGCCTGCACTTAACTGGCATGCAGTCAAAGCAGCAGATGGAAACAACCCTGTGCCTCGGCTCTCCTGCTGTGCTAAATCTCATGTGTTTTCACTCAGACTAAAAAAGAAAATGTAGGAAAAAGCGGAAAAGATAGCAGATAAATCAATCAGTGAGTCGCTATGGTATTCTTTGGTAGAGGCACTAAAGCGTTATTTTGAAAATGAAAGGGCAGGGGGAGGGCTGGTTGCGGGTTGGTTACATAAGCTCTCCAGCTGTTCTGCATGCATCGCCTGGCCTACTGTGCACAGAAACACATGGAATGTAGGCCAAACAGCCCCCGCTCATTCTTTTTTTCCCCCTGCTGTCTCTATCCTTCCTTTTCTGCTCTCATGAATACCACAGCAATGTCGATTTTTTTTTTTTGAAACACAAAGAAATGAGCACGGCTGGTAGTCGGGCTTAGAACAATCTATGAAGTACAAGAAATAAACACAGGAGTCCCGGCTCTGTAGTACTCCTTTCACTCTTTTTTACAAATCAAAATAATCCCTTTAATTTTCTAGATTGTGGCGTCTCCTTACTGTCTTTAATTTACCAAAAATAACTAAGCAGATCTTAACAGTGCCTTAAGTATTCATACCCATTTAATGTAATTTTGACTAATAACCACAATCTCTAATGTAGACCAAAAAAGTCGTCATTTCTACCAGCTTTGCAACAACAAGCTCACTAATTATTGAGATTGAAAAGGAAGCATCTGTCACTATTCCCCTGCCAGAGATTCCTGACTGGATTTGAGTCCGTTCATTCGAACACATGCACATGCCTTTATCTAAACCATTATATTATAGCTCTGGTTTTATCATTTGCTTTGTAGTCCTGCTACTCGTATGCAGCTTCTGACACGTTTGTTCTCGAGTTTTAGCTCAATTCTTCCACCAATCAATCCTGACCAGGTTCTCTGTCCCTCCTAAGGACCCTTACCACAATGTTTCTCCATGTTTTTCCGTGGGGACGGTGCATTTATCATAGTCTACAGGGTTGGGTTTTCTCTACACAGAATGCTTCTTGCCACTTTTCAATAAAGGTCAGAAATGTGGAGATCAACAGATGCCCCGGCGGATGATCCACACCCCCCGGAGCTGTGGTTCTCTACAGCTCCTCCAGCTATGGCTGCTTTTCTTATTCCAGCTGTTCTCGTTTAGCCTGTTAGTTTAGGTGGACTACCATGTTGCTGGGTTAGATGCTTTTTAGAATTAGATGGTCTCTAAGGGAAACTGGGTGTTTGGAATTTATTTAGGGTTTGAATACAGAAGCAGTGCAAACCACATTGTTGTGCAAAACTTCATATTGGTCTATAAAACTGAATCCCCGAGAAATGTTTTATTCTACCTTTTGTTACATAGAGTGTGCAGGCTTTCTCAAAGCCCCGTACTAAGCTTGACTATGAAAATAAAATATAGGGTCTAATGATTCAAATGATTCATCTGTTTTTATTTACAGGAATATTTATGTTTATGTTTTTTTTCCACAACCCTTGTGTATATAATTTCTTGGATGGATTTTAGGTTACATTCTGATTTATTATTATTATTATTTTTTTTTTTTTTACAAAACCTAAACACATTTATCACATGGAGTTTTTTATTTTTGAAAATATACACACCAACTGCTAAGTTGGTCGTTAGTACGTTTTTACCGTAAGAGTAGGTGTCAGGAAGAGGGACCCCATGTCCGGCCAGTTCTTGAAAGGTCCAGAATTTGTTGACACAGTTGAGAATAGCCTGGGGCCGGTTGATCAGTCGGCAGCCCATCTTCTCCAGGTGGCGCAGCACGGTGATGTCACTGTCAGACTGAACCCAGGGCGTGGGGACCCGCACTACAACCACCTGAGGGTAAGACGTCACCAATTCCTGCTCCACTCGCAGACCTGGAGGGCAAGAAAATGATGGGGGGACAGGAGGAAAAGAAAAGTAAAACGACAAATATTAGTCGAGAATCCGGTAGATTTCCTTCTACTACATTACACACCGACTATTTACTGTACTATTTACCAAGGTGATTGACTTAAAATCTAAAAAAGAAAACAAATAAGAATCAAAACAATACATAGTAGCTCAAAATATTTTGAAATAGAGATCCTTAACATTTCCTGAGCCTTGCCTTTTTTGGTATTCTCAACACACCTCCAGCCACAAATACAAAACAGATAAAAATCAAACTCAAGCTTCTGTTCAACATCTTTTTTATTGGTTACTGTTTGACTCCATTTTCACACCAGTTATGTGAGTCAATTACTATCGATTTACATCTATTTTCATGTTAAATTTAACAAACATATAAAGGGAATTTGTCCATTCTGTTTTAAACACAATATAGATATCATAAATGCATTGATCTAAACATTTAAAAAGAATTGAGAATTTTAGTTTGATGTTAATTCAATATTTTTTCAAGTGTTCAGGATTCGGTTGGATTTTAAGCCTGGAAAAACTTGGGCATCAAGCGCTGGAAAAGTTGACTTCACCTTTGAAAAAAAGGCCCCCTGACCCAGTTTACACCATAAGAGCATAGTACTTACAAGTATCTCTGAGACCCCTTTCAATCCAAAGACCGTCTTGAATTTATTTTGACTGAAATAAAAGCCTAATTATAGTTTCTGTTTTATGCACAGAAGTAAAAAAATATATATATATATATATATATATATATATGTGTGTGTATATAGGATGTGTTCTGCTAGTCCAGCCATCTATACAAGAGTTGAATGCTGTGCTAATGCAAATAGTTCCTTGAATCTAAAGTGTCCGCTCCTTATTGAAAGTCAAATTGACCTTGGCTTCCAATGCCTCGGCCTGACACCCCCTTTTCTTATGCTAATTTGAGCTACGGAACAAAAGCCTATCTGAGCACATCTGAATTGGTTACTGATCAGCCATTTCAATTCAGGGCACAATGAAAACAAGAGGGAGCTGACAATCTAGAAAAGTATAATGCTAGTAAAACAGAAATCACCCAGATTTTACTCCAAAGCACCTGTAAGATTACTTTAAGCTCAAACAGCCTTCTAATTCTACACAACAGAATCACATCAGTGGAAGCTTGCAGCACAGATGGCCTATCCATCAGCAATCGACCAGTTTGGCAATATTTCATTGGAAAACTGTTGTACAATTCATTTGCATACAACATGTTTTAGCCTGTGGTTACAACACAGGAGAAAATGCCACATTTGCACAGTAAAATGAAAATATTTGCCTTCTTATAAGCAGCAAGATTTTCATAGAAACCAGCATGCAGATATTAGTAGAGATCAGAGAAGCTGAATGGCTGCGGTCCATTTAATAACAACAGACAGTTACTGATATGTTGGCTGATACAGTGTCTGTAACATGTATTCTTTACATGCTCTTATTGTGTTAACGGGCGGGTTTAAAGAGGAAATGAAATAAGCGAAATGCAGGAGGGCAGTGTGGAAAGGAGGGAACGTGTCGCATGAAAACAGAAAAGTAAGGAGCCATGAAAAGATCCCAAACCCTCCCCTTTTTTCCCTCCTTCTGCAAAGAAGCAGGAGGATTCATTGCCCCTCTCTATTCAGCCCTCTCTCACACACTGGTGGTTTTTGCAGGCCCCATCAGTGCTGTTACAGTGGGAAGTGTCAGGGGATGTGCTCTCATGCTTTTTGACAGACAGTATTCACAGTGCTTGTCTCCGTCTCCAGGGGGACCGAACGGAGACCAATGAGCGAGCGGGATGAATCAGCCCTATTCATCTGTGCTCGTGTTTGTGTGCTTTTCGCTGTCTGTCATGTGACCGTCACAAAAACCATAGCAGTTTAGTTGGATAATGGTTTAAGCACACAGCTGTGTTTTAGGAGAGAGTGTCTGTATCTGTTGGGTAGGATCGGTTTATGCTTGAAACTGAGGGAGCTGTGTTTTATTGCTGGTTCAACAGATCAAACTGTTTTCACTTTGCTCAACAGACTGTATAGGTTCATCCCATTTCCATCCCGCCCAGCAAAGCTTTAAAGAATAGCAGACATTCTATACATACCACTGTAAGGTTACAAAGCAGCCTGACAAACACGGTGACATGTGTGGCCTGTCCATCCTGAATGCACTGCTTTGAATTAAGGTACTGAAAACAGATTAGATGACTCAAGAGAATTTTAAGGGGGAATTTATAATTCTTTGACAGAGTGGCACCTAGTATTAGATTTAACCTGATTACTTCATTATATAACAATTAAAGGTATGGTTTATACTCTCTTTATGAGATGCGTGGGCTGATTACTGGTGTCACAGTATACCAAGCCTCAAAACAGGTTTTCTGAGAAATGTAGGCTTTTGGCTTCAAGTTCTTATGGTGAGACGTCAGAGGAAGTGTTGGAGTTTATAAAATATCCAGAGTGTATAATCCTAATAAATGACTGGCTATAAAAACTAACCTCTTGGCCGGAAACTGAACCTGTCAACCTGCCAATATCGGCTTGCTATGCTTGTATTGCACTATAAGAGCAAAACTATCCCGATTAGGGATGCATCCATATCAGATTTCTTTAAACTGAGGTTAAATGCTCATGTTTCACTACTTGCTGATGCAGAGTAATGCCATAAGTACTAAATAATAGCCTAGTAAAAAACAAGTGTCAATCACAAGATCTGAAAAGCTCTGCACAGAACAAGACAGATAGACTAGAAAATAATTTCTACATTTGGTAAGTGTGCCTTCTATATGTTTTTAAAAAGTCTGTATCAATACTGAATACATGCTATGGATAACATTGCTGTAGCTGGATTAACTAAGGCATTAAAAAGGTTTTTAAAGCATTAAGAATAAATGTAGCTTTTCTGCTTTAAATAAAAGCTGTGAAGATCATTTAGTAGACTATTAAATACAGCATCTTGATTAATAACACCAATCTTTATTAATATTTATTTTCAAAAAATCGGAATGAAAAACCCCTTGCCTGCAAATTATTGCTGCATATATAATATGCTTCATTGCTCTCTAGAATAACTGGTTATATATCTTTTTTTCTAAAGTACTAATTATTCACCAAATAGTTTTGCATTATTAACTATAAAGTTTAAGGGTTTTGGATTCTGGGAATTATTAAGCAAACATTGTTCTGTTTCTCACTGCAACCATACAAATTCCTTATCTAAATGCTTAGTCAAACTAGGATCATATGATCTCAGGGTGAATAGTGTTGTCTTTTTTTTTAGCAGTGGAAGTTTAAGTTCATGATGATTTGGGAGCCTATGTGCCTTTTTGATATTATCAGAAACAATAAAAATGCTCCAAACTAGAAGCCCAAACGTTGTGTTGCTTAGTTTATATTTAGCTATGTAAATGTTTATGCCTCCTGATAAAGTTTTTTTTTTCTTTTTAGAGATAAGAAAAAAGCTGAGAGCCTATTTGCAAAAACCAATAAAATGCAAATGAACTCTTGACAGGCTAAATGTTTGGTTGATAAAGTGGGTCAGGTTACAGGTCTGCAGTGAGACTGTAGGCTAGGCCAAGCGGCTTAAAACATAACATCAGTTTTAATAAAATACAGAGAATATTAAATATATTATAGAATTTTAGATATGCCATATTACAGGTATGACAAAATGAGAGCATAGTTCCTGAACAATGAAACACTATTTATACTAACACAGCTACTGTAAGGAAACATTTTAGCTACTGATGCTAATATACCTTCTGTAGGTGAACAACGTTAATGAAGCTACCTCAGGATTGCATGTCCACTGACACAGATGTGCTGCATTTATCATTGGCGGGTAATGTCACGCCCACTACGATCACAGAGGATTATGAAAAGCATTCATATCAGGACTCTCTTTAAATACATCCAATCATGGGATGTAAGTCTCTGGGTTCGGCTGTTTCATACGAGTGGAGGGTATTTGTCAACAAAGACAACTTTAAATAGCAATATCTCCTCCCACAGACACTGAAAACACGAAAAACTTAGTCAGACTTTGATTTTAAATTAGTTCAGTTTAATTAACATGAAAACATCTAAACGGACAAAACTGTTCTGGTTTTGCATATTAATCAACATTTTATATATAATGCAAATCCATGTTAAGGGAAAATAAAAAACATGACATTCACTGATTTTGTTCTTGTTGCAATTTAGGTTTAAACAGTTTGTGTATACTCTGCCTATATAGATAAAATATTTAGGCCCCACCCATAACAACGCATGAAGTTTGTGACTTCTAATGTAGGAAGACTGCACTAGACAATCTGTCCACTACTTCTTAATCTGTAACGTAAAGCCGAGGCTCAAGAGACATTTGTATGTGCGCTTAGAGCCAACATGGATTACAGGCCAAATTAAGAGCCCTGTTCGTGAGCATCCAATTAAGCCCCAGTTCTTGACAGGGATCCACCTACAAATGCGAATAAGCTCATGTGATCTTTGTTTTAATGGAAACAGTCTGCCCTTCTTTGGTTTCTAAGCTCAACTAACAATTGACTGCATAAATCAGTGATATGACAGGAAAAATAGAGTAAGATCTCTGAGTAGAGTACATGTCAGACCCATCCCCAATACCATCATACAGTTTCCTCCCTTCTATTCAACCTCGGCTAAGTTCAAGTACCAACAATTATGTGTTAATTTAAACCATCACACCTCTCATGTGGTGACCCAGCCCATTTCACACCATACTTACAAATTCCATGTGCATTTGTGTATTTTGTGGTTCCTTCTTATCACCATCAGTTTACCAAGACCTTCTGTGTGAGATTGTTTTGTTATCTCTAAACAAATCAGTACAAAACAACAGCAAAACTCTGAGAGGGATTGATTCCTCAGGGCAAGACAGACATACCAGTCAGCAATAAACTACATTAATAAGTTATTTTCAAAATGTCATGACTAGGATCAAAATTCATTGAATCTGTATATGACTGGATTGTTCTTATATAGTGTTTAATGGATCTGTTTCCTCTTGAAAATAAGTAGAAATCTATATAAACTAATGAATTATAAGCAGAAACCCATCAAAGGTAGCAGATTAAGGTGATGCTACGTACGCAGGGGCGGAGCTGGGTGGGGG